GATCGGAAGGAATTACTGTCAACGGTCGGTCATTAAGAATCGCTTCACAGTCACACAGTATCGTCTACATTTCTTCATAATTTAAACAAGCATGTTTAAGAACTTTTTTAAGTACTTGCTTCATCATTCCGATAAGACGTTCCCACCAACCACCGCACCGTGGAGCACCAGGGGGAATAAACTTCATGTTATTCGCTGATTGGCTGCCTGCCGATTAATTTGTTCAAAATCTATTAATTTGAATGCATTTGAAGCTCCTACAAAATTAGTTTCATTATCACTGTACACAGTTGTGGGTTTACTCTCTCTTTGCGACATGAACCAATGAAAAGCCTGGAGAACACTTCTGTAGATAGAGAAGTCAGCAATTCCAAATGGACCGCTCCATAAACGGCGCATGTAAAAACACAAATACATGCCTTTTCTTTGTTTCTCAACAATAAAGGACCACAAAGGTCTATACCCGTGACATGAAATACTGCTGAATCGTTTACTCGCTCTATTGGCGGTGGGGCTGATATGTGGTCAACAGGTACAGCAGAATATCTCTTGCAAGTAATGCATTTACTCAAAACAGAACACACAGTTCTTCTGCCAGATAACAACCAAAACCTTTCCCTTAAGGTATTCAGTATATATTGTACACCTGCATGTCCTTTCTTTTTATGTTCTTCCATAATTAAATTTCTAACTAACAGATGTTCTCCTGGTAATATTATAGGTGTTCTAAACTCTAACATGTCCTCTTTTCGAAACGCACCAGTTTTAATTCTTAGAATTCCCGCATCATAAAATGGACTAAGAGTTCGTAAGCATGCGTCTTCTATATCCTGAAACAATTCCGATTGAATCAAGCGAATAACAACCTTTTCTGCAAAATCAATTTCATCAACAGTGAGTTCACCTTTCCTTTTTTTCTTATTTCTGCAATTAAAGAAAAATCGTTGAATCCAACCAACAACTTTAACTGTTTTTCGATAGCTAGAAAATCGCTCACTCAAACTAAACCTTTCAGTAGACACTAGAGATGAAACCACTGCCTTTTTTTTTCTTGCTGGCTATTTCCGCTTCATCAGTTATGAATTCAGCACTCGGCCAATTATCTTGGGATTTTAAAAGCCAGCTCGGACCCTCCCACCATTTTTACCGGGAGAGTTGGCGAACTGAACACCCTCTACTTGGAAGATCTGCAGGGTTAAGGTGACCAGGTATATGCCTCCAATCCTCCACACATGTCAAAAGCCTTATTTCCTGTACTCTATTTTGTACAAATGTCCCCCATAGTTCTTTCCTTTTTATCCATGCAAGGACAGTAGTTGAATCTGTCCAGAAAAATGTACTTCTGGCCTCAAAGTCTTTTAGAACGTCTGCAGCAAGACGAGATGCAATAAGGTTTAATCCTTTTTCAAGACAATCGTTGAGACTCGGAGAACCCTTTGCTTTAGACGAAGCTTCAAATACTGGCCGTAACTTCGTAGTACTATGTTTCTTAACAACATGTCTAAGTGGCAAATAATGATGGGGTAAATCTAATTCATTTACGGGTACTTCCTCTATTATGCCCTCTTTGAGCCATTCTTGGAATATATTTTCATACTCTTGGCGAAGATTATCCAGTTCAAGTTGCCTAATCGTACCGTGCAACCTTTTAAGCGATAACTCAAAATTATCCGACAGGGTAGGGTGCCCTTCCAACCATTGCAAAGACACTACAAAGCGGTTATCTTCTATTTTTACAGTATCAAGAAAATGTTGCCTGGTAGCCTCATACAATTTCAATTTACTCTTTTGTTCGGATGGGTCCGTAATACCAAGCGAGTCAAGGGCCCATAAATCAGAAATACAAGCCTCTTTATTCAACATTGAAGTAACTAAGAATGTTGAACCTTCACTATTCAACTCCCCGGTTTTTCCCATAACCGTCCATCCTAACTTTGTCTCAATAGCTACAAGACCGTTTGAAATTTGTTTACGATTTCCTGTTAATAATCGTCCTGCAACATCGGCTCCTATTAAAATTTCTATAGGTCCTTCTAAACGATCTGTTAAACTTATTCCACAGTCAGCAAGCTCTTTAAGCCATATTCCTTGTCCAATAGAAGGTATATTATTACAAATAACAGGCTGACTTAACGTATCAAAATTACAGCTGTACGAGCCAGACGTATTAGATAAATGAATTTTGTAAACTTTATGTTCACACACACTGGTCGTTGTACTGCCAAATAATGCATAGCTAAAGTATTCCTTTACCGTATACCTATAACCCATATCTTGAGCTGTGCTTTGCAGAATATACGACCTTTGAGAACCAGTATCAATTATAGCTCGAGCCGAATGAGATTTTTTATCTCCTTTAATTATTACTCTTATTGTTTGCAGCAAAACTTTAGGAGACCTTGAAGAAATGTTGGCGAGTGTTTCAGCCTGATTTGGAGGCTGTTCTGTTGCCCTTGTCTCACTCATTTGTGAACGGCCTTTACATAGAAAAATATGATGCCTTTTACTACATGTAAAACAAACTGTTTTTAATCTACACCTCCTGACAGAATGTCCAGATTTCAGACACAGGTAACAAGAGCAAAACTTCTCTTTCCGACAACGATAAGTTACGGGCCTGAAAACATTCTGCAGAACCATTTATACTGGAATTTATACTGGATTTATACTGGAACAAAATATGCAGCCTTTTCTAGCTTCATGAGAAGAAGTAAACAGTTCAGCTGCCGTAGGTTTTAAGTGAGGTTCTCTTATCTTTAAACCTGAATTTCCTTTCTTATTACCGTGAGCCAATCGATCGAAAACATTGAAAGATGTAGCTGCTAAAAGAAATTCTTTCCTCACTTTCAACTTCACCGCGCAAGAAACATAAAAGGCGCTCAAGGTCAGATTCCCTTTTCTTAACTCGCCGTTTTCGCCAGTTAAACTTTCTGATCCTTTACGCGAAAACCTAAGTCTCTCCCACGTTTTTAAGACTTCATTCAGCAATGCTGATTCTACCAATGGGTACAATATCGTGCAATATTTGCCTCTATTTATTCCCAATATCTCCAAGGCTCTTAGATTAGATTCAAGTTCATCATATAATTTCCATAAAGAGTGTGTACTTTGTTTTTGAATAACAAGGGTTAATAAATCATGAATATAAATCTCAATTGGTAATTCTTTGTTACCAAAACGCGTTTGCAATGCTTCAATTGCGCTCTTGTAACTATCGCCAGTTGGCGGAAAGCTTTTAACTATTTCCTCTGCAGGAGAGTTCTTCTCCGTAGCCTATGCCAATTAAGCAAATTTATCATTATTATCTAATGTAGGATCTTTATCAATCTTTTGGAATTGCCCCCAAAATCCTAGCCATTTCTTCACATTACCATCAAAGATAAGCAATTTAATCTTCGAATAACGTAACATTTTATTCTGAATAAAAGACGGATCAATTAAAGTTACATTCGGGGTACCAAAAGTGAGATCTTTTAGTTTACTTTCCATAAGTCTCCACCTATCAAAATATAATTCAGATTCATCTATTTCCTTAATAGGTAAAGTCTCATATGTAATTTCTTTAAGCATTAATTTTCGTATTTTCATTTCAGTATCAAGCAAAATTTCAGCTTTCTCAGCAATAACTTTTATTTTAATTTATTTTTCTTCCTGATTAAATTTAGTTTCTTCATTGTCAAATTCATTACACGCTTTACTAAATAATCTTCTATATTGAGTTCGTGCTAACTTTAAGGCTTCCATGATTCAAAATAAAAAAGTCGCTTACCTTGCAGACAATATCCTGTCGCGGACGCCAAATGTTGATTTTTCTCGTTAAATTCTATGAGATATATCTGACTTTGAACCTAAAATTTCTGAAGAACACAAAACCTTGTCTAAAACTTAAAAGTTTATTCAACTAGAACTTCAAAAAAATGATAAAAACATAAATGTTTCCTTATACATCATAAACGAAAACTTAACATCTTAGGTGGAAACATTCAACATTTCCAGGCAATGCTTTAAATTGTCAGCTATTCCTGCACGGTGAAGAACACTTTCTTTAAAAGGACAAAATCCATCTGGCCCTTTCGGCATATATCTCCATTTTAGTTTCGCTGGATTCAGACTTCAGCTCCTACGTATTTTGGACTTAAACGGCCGGACTGGAACCGAAACAAGACGGGAACCGGAACAAAACTGGAACCAGAACAGGACGGGGACCGGAAACTATCATCCCCTGGCTTCTTCCCCAGGCAGGTCTACTCTGCCTCAAACTGAAAATGAACTGCCCCGCTGCCAGGGAAAGCACCTCTTTTTATTGACGGCGATTATGCAAAATATTTAACATCTACAGAACTACAAAATGCATTAGCTTTTGTGTCTTTTTTTTATCTTACATAATTTTAAGCTTTTGATATTTAAGCTGATTAAAAATGAGATAACTGTTTTTAATTTTAGATTGGAAATTTCTTCTTCCATTCGTTTAGTTTTTGCACTTTGTGTAAACTTTACTTTCTAGAATTTTCACTTATCTGATATTTGACATTTCTCAGTAGTCAAGCTTTTATGTGTAAAAAAGATTATTTTACAGTTCCAGAAAATTTCGTTATTTCAAGTGCCATTTATAATAATTAAATAAGGTTAAAGATGTCCCTTTTAAAATCATTTTACTGATACATATTAATCTGCAATTCAAATTTAAATAGGTTAAATATTTTTAAAAATTAATATGTTATGCCCCATTAGTGTTACCCTGTAATATTTTAATTTTTCTAAATATTCTGTACACGTGTTTATATTGAGATGTTTTAATGCTTAGCAGTGGGGATTTGTATAATAAAAGCTGTATTAGTCCATTTTTTTTTAATGCAATGATCGTTTTGAACTTAATGCAAATAATTTTTGTTTTTAAATGAAGGATATATTTGTGTTGTAACATAATTCATATTTCAGCTCAAAATGAATGTTCTCTTCTTTGTTATGCAAATGTGTATTTAAAAATAAAATATTTTCAGATCTAAATTTAATATGGATGATTTGCCAAAGAGCATATTGTGGAATTGGTCTCTAAGTCAAAAAATTGGACAACCTATCTACAAAACAGTAAGTTAACGTACAATTATTAAACTTTATTGCCAGAATCTATTTTGTGATTTTCATATGAATTTAATGAATATGCAATATATATATATATATATAAATCCAAATTATAGACAAAAAAAAAAAAAAAACACTGAATAAAAAAAGTAATTTAAACAGCTTAAAAGTCTGTCTGTAAGTCTTTTCATGAAGACAAAAAAATGAAGTAAAATTATTTTTGAAAATTGCTTAGGGGAAGCAAATTGTAATGTTCGTCAGAAAACTTAATATAAAATTGCAAATATTAAATGCATATCATTAGCTAGAGCAGCATATAAATTATGTTCTTTCCTGGTTTGGTAATTATTAGTTATATTCTTAATATATTTTACATAAATATAGATAAATTCTCTGTTGAAAGTCCTTCATAAAAGGTGTTTCTGTGAAATAATTACTCCCATTTGCACCAAAGCTTAATCAATTACTGTATTTTTCAGCAAATAACTTAATGTGATCAGAGGTAAATTTATAATTTTGTTGCCCCTTAATTATATTTATTTTTCTTTTTTATTTATATGGACACTCTGATCATATGACTTATAGTAAAATGAAACAAAAAAAAATCGCTTCAGTTTCTAAACTAGTTTTTGATCTTTCATATGTGTGTATTTAACAGTTTAAAGATAGAGTAGTGAAGAAGTAATGGTGTTATTTACATAAATTTATTCTTTGACATGTTTCGTGAACACGTCCCTATTTATTTAATGGGGTTATGGTCCATACAGTCTACAAGCCTTATTGAAATAAATATAAGGCTCTTATAGTGCTTACTGTTCTTTAAGCCTTATTTTTTGTTTTAGTTCCCCCCCTTTTTTAAGAACACCATTTTTTCACGTACCAGTCAAAATTAAAATGATGGCATGAATTGGGTAGGAGAGTATTTAGTCTAAAAGACTTTGACTCCTAAAGTAGTTACCCTACGGGGTACGTCGTAGTGGGGAAGGAGACCACTTTATGATTTTAAAGTGGAGAAGTTTTTAGTCCTACTTGTAGAAAAATGCAATTATTATGGTAGTTCTGCTCGTGCTGATGTGCTGCCATTTGGGTACCTAAGGGCGCTGAATTGAGTTAGCTTACTGGATTATTGTGCCCATATGTGGAGGTTGGGACTGGCAGAAACTTAGGCTAGTGAGGTCTCATGGCCTTGTTGATGGTTTGCGTCGTCTTTTTCTTCAGCAACTTATGATCACTTTAGCGTGAAAACAACTCTTATTCTCTAGAACTTTTGCAGCTTGTATTTTTCCGACTAATTGAATGACTGTAGTTAGAAATTGCTTGATGTATGAGCCAAGTCAGTATTTCTTCAGTCTCTTCTGGTGGTGGCTGTAATTTTGAGCTGTACGTCTGATTTTGTGGTGCAAGTTTCTGCTGGGCTGGGACTTCAGCTGTTTTTGGTTCCGTTAGTGTCTGAGGAAAGTTGTTCAAGTCAGGAATTTCTTGTGCTAGAGGTTTGGGCTTGGCTTCCTGTTTTTTTGTTTTCAAACTGTTTCTTGTAGTAACTACTAACGTATGGACCACTGCAAAAAATATTGGGTTTTTATTCCTTTGGCATCTGGCATAAATTGCTGCAATGTGGTCAACCGCATTTAACGCACCTCTTGGACTTGTTACAACAGATCTGTGAGTATCCATACTCTTGGCAGCGATAGCGCTGCAAAGGGCGGCTGCGAAGATTGAATTTTTCAATGGTACAGTTAAAACTGAACATGTTAGAGAGATTGTGGATTAGTCCATCGCCATTTTTCTTCAATTCGAGAAGGAATATTGGCAGTTTTATAATACACTGGTGTGCAAAACTTAAGCAACAGGTGTTCTTTTTGACATAAATCCATGAGATATCATCTGAGAGACATGAAATTCAGAAATAAAAGACAGCATTTTGTTTTTAAACAATGACGAAAGCATAATTGCGCAAAAATGAATACAATGCATACAGTATGGAATTAAACAAAAGCAGGCTTTATCGAACTCATAGTATGGTTACACATGATTGTCTGTATAAGAGGAAGAACAACAAGCAGATGTTCCTTAATATGGGATATGCCCTCCCCTTACTGCAATGGTTGCTTCTCACCGTCTCCTCACACTCAGCACCAGATTGTCCAACAGATCTTGAGGTGAGAGTGCCCATTCCTCAATCAGCATCTGTTTCAGTTGTTGAGTGTTCGCCGGAGGATGTAATCGTGCCTCAAGGCGTCTCCCCAAAGCATCCAATGCATGTTCTATGGGATTTAAATCGGGGAGTATGCTGACCAATCCATTCGAGTGATATCTTCACTTTTCAGTAGCTTCTGAACAGCAGGAGTCCGGTGGGGCTGTGCATTGTCATCCATAAAAACAAAGTCTGGTCCAATTGCACCTCAGAACAGACGCACAGAGGGGTGGTTCACCTCTTGACAATAGCGATCTCCGGTTACACTGTCGGCTTCTGTCGAAAACGTGGAGCTCTGTCGGCCCGTTCAGCATAATGCCTCCCCAGAGGAGATCTCCAGGACACCGTAATGGTCTCTTTCCGTGATGCTACTGAGATTAAACCGTGTCCTTACCTCTCTCCAAATAAGTTGGCGTTGAGGATCGCTTAGGACACTAAAACGACTCTCATCCGTAAGGAGGACACGACTCCATTGATGAGATGCCTAGTTTTTGTGCTCCTTGCACCACTCTAAACGGTGGCGCCGATGGCCAACTTTCAAAGAGATGCAGCGTTCAAACGGCGGCGAATAGGCCATCTTTGTGAAGGTGTCTGGACACAGTAAACCACGAACAATTGTCGCCGGTTGCTGTACACAGTTGCTGAGCTGTGCAATTTGCTGACTGGTTTTGGGCTCTTTTCGCCTGTAGGACAATATATTGGTTATCTGCTGCAGTTGTTGTCCTGGAGCGACCACCACCAACCTTTCGAATAGCTGTACCTACGGTTTGGAAGGCATTCCAAGCCCGCAAAACGACACTTTTGTTGACTTCGAAATCTTAAGCCACATTGATCACACTACACCCCTCCTCCAGCTTTCCGATCATTCTTCCACTCGTGAAGTCATCCAGATGATTTCTTCTAGCCATATTTCACGAAAGATTTCACCTGTACTTGTAGCGAATGTCTTTAATTACGTCTTCGTCCTTCCTTTTATGGTAGTCTCGAGTGGAGCGCATGCGTTTTGTGTACGATCATTTTCGTGTAACATGTTACTTGTACATGTTACACGAAAACAGTCGTTCAATATAGTCTGTGATGTTTTTTCTCGGATATTTGCATATGCATGACCTTTTTACCGAATTGCGTGTTCATTGTACCGATGGCAAGAAGCCCTTTTCTGCAAGTGCATGGTTATCTGGTTAAAATTTGCATTGTTGCTTAAGTTTTGCACACCAGTTAACTTTGTAAATGTAAACACTGGAAGCAGTATTTTCTTATTCAGAACCCAATTAAAAATCGTGAAAACATACAAGTTATTTCACTTGTACTTGCAGCAAATATTCTTAATTGCGTCTCCGTCCTTCCTTTTGTGGAAGTCTCGAGTGGAGCGCGCTGACCTCACGCGTTTTGCGTATGATCACGTAGCCTGTGACGCTTTTTTTCCTGACATTTGCATATGCATGACCTTTCTACTGAATTGCGTTTCATTGCACTGATAGCAAGAACCCCTTTTCTGCAACTGCATGGTTATCTGATTAAAATTTGCATTGTTGCTTAAGTTTTGCACACCAGTGTATTTTCCGGTCGCTTTTTTTTTTTTTTTTTTTTTTTTTTTGTAAATTGCTTTACCTTCAGAATTGGATAATTCCCTTTAATTAAGTCGTCATATATGGCACTTTCCTTGACTGAAGCTGGTACTCCCTTTAAAATGACCCTTAGTGGTTTGTAGCTGTCGAGCATAAAAGAATGGAAAGGAATTCCTTGCGCTAAAAGAGTTTTGCAACAGGTTCTGTAATCCGTAGAGCTTTTAGTGTAAACATATAATGATTTAGCCTTCAATGAAGATTCGTATTCCTCTTTACAATGCTTCTGAAAGGGTGCATCTAAATCTGACCAATCAGCGTCGTTGTGGGAGAAAACAATGGGTGGGGCAGGGGAACTTCGTTTTTCACTTCATCATCTTTGCCTGGATGTTGCTTTAGCAATGCGTGAAATTGATTTTCTTGAACTATTTCCATCAGTTTGGGTGTTTCTTTAGTTTTTTACTACTTTCTTGGGTGATTTCCATTCAGAAGTGTCATTAATTGAAGTTGTTGGAGGCATCAGTATTTTTTCAGTGTTGGCTTTAGTTTGCAGTGAGTCAACACGAATTCTTTTCCTCTCAGAGTTTGAAGTGGCTTCAGCTGCAGAGTATATTTTGCTGTAGCTATCTCCTTTAATCATATCCATAACCGTCTCCATTTCGTATTTGTTAATTAGCTGTATTAGAGTTTGATAGTTTTCATCATATGGCTTCAGTCCATCGGTATGTGATGTTTCAGCTTCAAATGGGATAACAAGGTCTGTTACTAGTTTTTTTTCTTTTTGGTTATCTTCTTGGCTTTGGTTGGCCTTGCAGAGATAGGGCTTTTCAGAAAATCCAATTTCCTTGAGGTAGTCGGCAACGAATAAGTCGAATATTCTGATTCAGCATTGTCGCTGTAATCATTATCATCTTGGCTGAATGTCCCGTAATGGGATGTGATGCGCGAGACCCGAAGGGATCACTTAACAAAATTTTTGGAATCAAGTCAAAATCAAGAGCGCTGATTAACCACCTATGGTACTGGGTTGACTAAATAACTAAATAAACAACTTTTCTTCCTTATATGGAATGTCAGATGGTGAATCATGCTACCGAAAATAGCTTTTCCCCCTTTCTCTGCATTAACGTAAACTTTGGTGTGTGCGAGATTGCAGACAGTTGCAGGTTGTTCTATTGGTCAAAGAATTGCGAAAGCGGTAGAAAATTCCGGTACATTTGGTATTCCTTTCCTCCCACCCAAATACTACACAGGTTTGAGTTTTTTTATCAAGATTTTAATAATATGCATTCTTGTTCCATGTGGTCAGTTCATATTCGCGTTTATTATGATCGGTATGCTTATATTATGAGCATATGTCAATATTTATAATAATATATTTGTAGTAACTGCTGAAGTATAGATAAATATTCCAAAAATGGGTAAGTGTATTTTAACATAGATTAGTTAAAATACACTTACCCTTTTTTTTTTTTTTTTTTTTTTTCTGTCTGTTTTTTACAACTGCCATTTTGAGTGCGAATTAGGATTTTGGAGGAATATATTTTGGCGATTCACTGACAAATATGTATTTGATGATTTATCCTTTGAATTTGTTCCTATATCTAATAAACAATTGTCTGATACTCGAGTTTCTGGGCAAGAAGTGAAACATAAGCATTTCAAAATTATTTCTTTTTTGCTATATACAGTACAAAGTCTGTAATCCGAACATCCATTATCTGGAATGATCTATAATCTGGACCTCAAAACCACAAACTTACACATGCGCGTAAAGCCAGTAAAGCGTTTACCCATGCAGGCTTCCGATAGTGAAGAAAGTGACAGAGAGGTTATTGAAAACGAAAAAAATTTCGATTGACAAGTTAGTCAGTATTTTCAACACAGCAATTACAGTGGAACTTTGTAACTGAACAAGAAATTATGTCTCTTTATAGAATTAAAGAGAAAGTATTAACACAAAAAACGAAGCAACTTAAACAACAAATTTTGATACCCTTTAGATAATAATTGCTCTTTATTGCATAAATTATAGTTCCATATTTTTAATTGTATAATTTTTGCATGCCCTCCTAATCCGGAATTGCCGAAATCCCGACGAGTCTGGATTACGGATTTTGTACTGTATAAGCGGACATAAGTTTTACGGATAAGTTTTTCGTTGTGATGATAATGCTTCTCAATCATCAATCAGTTAACAGATGGTGAAATCTGTAGTATAGTTCTAGATCCAGAAAATATCGCTACCAATGGTACAGAAAGTGACAGAGAAGTTACTGAAAACAAGAAAATTTTGATTGGCAAGTTAGTCAAAATTCTTGAAACAGCACTTGCAGGACTTTAACAATGTAACTAAACAAGAAATTATGTCTGTCTACACTATTAAAGGGAGGGTATTAGCACAATAAGACAGAGCAACTTAAACAACTTACGTTGAAAGAAATGTTTAATAAAGTAAACAAATAAATATTAAGCTTCTTCTTCTTCTTTTTTTTTTTTTTTTTTTTTTTTTTTTTTTTTTTAAATTTTGATACCGTTTAGATCATAAATACTTCATTATTTCATTTTAGTTTTATAATTTCTACATGCCATCTTACTAAATTTAAACTGATAATCTAATATCCAGAAAGATCCAAAATTGCCGAAGTCCCGATGTATCCGGATTTCGGACTTTGTTTTGTATATTATTTTATATTTCATGGGGTACAACTTATAATTATTTTCATCATATAATTATTTCATCTTTCACCTATGCAATAAAAAAAGTTTGGAGATTGCTGCCCTAGACTCCCTTTCTAAGAAAAGCATTAAAATAACCAACTACCTCCTATCCAAAGAACAGCTGCCATAGGGCAGCTGCTTTCTGTTCTTTGGATAGGAGGTAGTTGGTTTTTGTGTTACTCTAATCACCGTGTCCAGAGAGCGAGATTAAAGTTGCATCAGCTACACCTCAATTGGACTGTCTCAGATTGCTACAATGTCTCATTAACAAGCAAGTCCAGATTTGCCTTGGATTCAGGTGATAAGTGTGTAAGGGTCTGGAGAGAACAAAATACATGGAATCAGGCCCAGAATATCATGAAACATCACATATTCAGAGATAGAATTAGCATAGTTTAGGCTGTAATTCCAATAGTTTATTGCACCCAGCTGCATATCCTTAAAGATGATTCTGTGACAATTGCCTGGTATCAGAATGAAGTTGTACATTATGAGAATTATGAGAATCTGTACTGCAGCAGCTGGTTTTGATTTTTCTTCTTGCCTTTCCTATCAATCTGACATCATTAACGATTACCTGGAGAGTAAAGGCCTTTCTGGTATGGAATGGCCACCATATTCCTCTAACTTTAATCCCATTAAAAATCTTTGCGAGTCTACATGTTTCCTCTTCCAGTTAGTCTCTGACATTTAGAAATTGCCTAATGGAAGAATATCCATTACAAGCTTATGTGATGGTACATCACCTGATTGAAAGCATGAGCAATTGCTGTGAAGTATGTGTAATGGTCTGCACATACTTTATTAATGTAAGTTTTGTTTTAAACCTTAAACATTAATTTGTTCATAACCCAAATATGTTGTCATCATATAATTTGCAAAATTTAAATATTGTTTTCATCATTGTACATAATGATTGTTTTCTTTCATGCATAAACACATTTGCTACCATCATGTGCAATTTGGTGTTAATCAGAGTTTTACTTTTCCAGTTTTGTTGATTTTATTGTCACATGTTTAACTTTTGGAAGCAGCGTAGCAAAAATACATTATAAAAACTGAACATTTAATATTTTACTCAATAATTTAAATGCAGAAACACTCACTTCTTATTAAAATATTTATCCTATCAAATCTGCTTCCGATTTTCTCTTTTGGATAATCATTTCCTTTACTGAAACAACTTAAAGGTCATAGAGTAAATCAACCATCTATGAATTTACCATTCATAGAGTAAATCAACTGTTTTGTTGCATATTTCTGCCTACTTCCTTTGTGCTAAACTGTTTTGCAGCATCTTCAGCAACTTTTAATTGTGTCTGTAAATTTAATGCTTTAATTTTTTGATTTTCAGACATCTTAATCAAACATAAGCACTTGAAATTTAGGAAATGAAAAATTTAAAAAAAACTGCTTACATATAGGCTGAATTCTGAACTTTGAAAGAAACAAATTGCCTTGGTGCAACTTCAGCATTTAATTATTTATGTTGCTATTTTTGAAAACAAGAATGTATAACACATACTGTAAACAGTTTAGGAGTGTGAAAAATCATTAAATGCGGCATCATAACCATTAAATCAAGCTGATATATTGTTAAATTAAATCATGCCTGGAAAAGATCAAATAAAATGATTCATAAACTATCAGTTATTATTTTCTTAAAAACAGTCTTTATAAAACACAATAATATGACTCCTCTTCCCCCTTGCCTCTTTTCTATCTCTTCGAGTTTTTTTCTCCCCCTTAAAAATTAATTTTCTGGTTTGTCATTGATGCTCTAGTTCACTGATATTTATTTATTTACACATATTAATTTTATGTGTTTTTTCAGGAGCAGTATGAAAAAAGTTTCCAGTCTGTCGTAACTATTAATGGGAAAAAATACACTAACCGATGTTTGTAGGTATCAGTTTCTTCTCCCCTACACACTTACTAATAAACATATACAGAACCTTTATCTCATTTATTTTATTTTGTCTGTTTAAATTTATATGTCTTCTATATATTTTTATTGTACAGATTTTCTAAAATACAATTTAAATTTTGAATACTAGAGAAAATGATCATATTTATAAACTAAAATTATCAAGTTCTATTTTTTTTTATTATTTTATATTTATTCTGTAGTAATGTGAAATAAATACTAATTGGGAGCAATACTTATTAAATTAAGTAAAATATTAATAAAATAATGGGTTTCTAGTAAAATTTTTGCTTTAAACAATACTATGCTTTGTTCTGCTTAAAACATGTTTAATAGCAGGAGTTTGAAAATTCAATTACTGAAAAGTACATTTTCATTATATATATATATATGTAAATGTTGCTCAACAATTAATCACCATCTTATTAATAGATATTGCAGAACATTTTTTGTAATGTATGTAATGAAATTCATATTATTGCAGAGGTTTTTCATATGCATAGATGATTAAAATTTTATTTTCAACTATGCAACTTTTTTTAATTTTTAATTTTTTACTTTAGAGAAAAAAACAAGAAAAATGCAGAACAGGCTGCTGCTTTAGTGGCTACCATAGCTCTAGGATTGATTATTTATGAAGGTTCTGAATATACACATGGAATTTCTCTTAATTCAAAACATAATTTAATTTCTCTTGAAAATGCTATATCAACTAATCAGAATTGTGAAAATACTGATAGCTGTCTTAATTCAACAAATGTTTTATTTGGTAGTTGACATTTAGCATATTCTAAGAAATTTTGTGGAATGTTGTGTACATAAAATAAAGTTTATTAAAATATTTTCTTTATAGCTTGTTATTATACCATTTAATTTTTTTACACTTAATTTATTTACTTGTTTTCTGCATTCTACTTAACCTTCTCAACGGCTAAGTTTTTTTAAGAGCAATTCTTAGCTAGATTTGTGTAGTTTCTTATGTTGTTCTGTGCTTTTGTAATCTTTCATGCAATAATATGATATTTAGAAAATAAAAGAAAATGTTTCCCAATGATAAATGAAATTAATGAAACTTAAATTATGCAAATTTTATTTCCCTTACCCTTAGTAATTTTTCATACTAAATCATTTTGATCTGAACAGTCAGATTTGTAAAACTTTCTGTGTAGAATTTCTTTACCGTGTTTAATCTACTAATATTTGCATATAATTTTCTTTCATTTCTATGTATAGTGCAGGACTAAGTTTATCTATGCGGTAATATGCACATTAATTATTAATTTTATTTTCATCATTTTAAAAATATGCTTTAATAAGCTTTCCTTCCGTACTCAGAATTTTTTCAGTCTAATAATGAAAGATAATTACGAAATGAAATTAGCCAAAGAACATAAAATTTAGAAGCCTAATTTAATATTAATTTATTTTGCTGGCCAGAAGATGAGAATTTCACCATTGATCGTACTGGTGCAGTCCCACTGCATTAACTATGCATCTTCACCCCAGTTTTTAATAAGAGCATGCAGAGGAACGGATCCAATGGTCTCGCACCACTCTTTCCTAACCACCAAACAATTCAAAAGGACTTTTTCCTTATCAGTATTTTAAGTGCCTCCATTCCGCATAGACACTATACACTTACAAACATTCATGCCTTCTATGGCATTCAAACCTGAGCCCATCTATACCTCAACTAGCAACACTAACCAATATACCAATCAAGGCAGCTAATATATTTTACTCAAGAAGCATATTATAAATAGTTCAATATAGCCTGAATCATGGAACCCTCTGTAAATTCCCTATTTTCAAGTGAGAACTTGCCAGTTTTTCATATTTAAAGGTTAACAGCTACATAAATAAATCAAACAGGATTCTGACACAGTGATTTATTTGTTATTAAAGTTTCCAGATGTTTTTATTAGTACAGAAAAAAGTCTAATCTATAATATATCAAAATTTGAAACAAAGAAACAAAATATCATTTATAAGGCATAAGAAATTATTTGAAAACAAAATTTGTATAAGAAAAAATATTATTTTAGGAAACAAATTGGAACTTAATTTTTATGTAATTTCATAAGTTACATGTGATAGTAAAATGATGTAGATGTGTAGGAAAAGGAACTTCTTTTTTCTAAAATTCATGTGATGTTTAGATGTCTTTATTTATTTTAAAAAAAAAAAATCTTCAGGGTTATTTCTAGTACAAACCTAGAATTGTCATCTACAGTACAAAGACTTTAATCCGGAATGATCTAGAATCCGGACCTCAAAGCTACAAACTTTCATAGCGTTTACGCAAGCGCATAAAACCTTTACGCATGCGCATATGCGTTTACACAAGCGCATAATATGTTTATGCATGCTCGTTTAATGTATAACGGATGGTATAAGCTAGGCTAAAATTATCTATTTCAGTTAATGTTGCAGATTGTGTTGTTCCGTAATCTTCTAACTGAATCCGGCTTATTATTTTTTGCAGACTGTTAGAGCAATTTTATAAAAAGTAAGCTTAAACTTTCGATTATGTCAAAAAGAGTTTCCGATTCTGGAGCTGCCAAAGGATCTACAAAGCAAAAGCATGTTTCAATGTCCATCAAACAAAAAGTGGAATTGCTGCAAAAAATGGATAAAGGCATGAAGAAAGTGACAGAGAGGTTAGTGAAAATGAAAAAATTTCGATTGACAAGTTATTTGGTATTCTCGGCACAGTAATTACAGGACTTGAACAGCGGAACTTTGTAACAAGAAATTATGTCTGTTTATAGAATTAAAGAGAAAGTATTAGCACAAAAAATGAAGCAACTTAAACAACTTACATTGAAAGAAATGTTTAATAAAATAAACAAATAAATATTAAGCTTTTTTTTTTTTTTTTGTAAATTTTGATACCCTTTAGATCATAATTGCTCTTTATTTCATAAATTACGGTTTCATGTTTTTTATTTTATAATTTCTGCATGCCATCTTACCAGATTTAAATTGATGATCTATAATCCGAAAAAACCCGTAATCTGGAATCGCCGAAGTCCAACAAGTCCGGATTAAAGACTTTGTATTGTATAACATGTTTGGAACATTAAGAGTGAGAGTCAAAAATTAAAATTCATCAAATAAAAAGAGACTTATTTTAAATTTTATTTTGTATTTTCACTGCTGCTGAAAGGCAGAAAATGTACTGTGTGTTGCTTAAATTATGCAGGAAAGCTAAATTATACACATTGATCAGGAGAAACATTTTGCCCATCCTCCTAATACTGTGTTTGGAGATTCTAATTCATAATGCTGCTTTGCACATAAAACAGCTACAATCCACTATGGCTAATTTTGCAAGTCCTTGCCATGTTGTGGAGGAAGATTTTACCGCATTTGTAAGTAGGGGTCATGCTATTCCCATATATTATGAGAAGGTGGTTAGTGAGTTCTCAGCTTGTCGTTCATATCTTAGATATGTTCAGTGGGATTGATATTCTGCTGGATGAATCCATTTCCAGTGGGGAAAGTTTAAATGGAAGCCATGAAAAAGTGTAACTGGCCAGCAGTAGTGTTCACATAATTTGCAACTGCCATTTTGTGTTCTACGGCAGCGATTGGTCATAGAAACACTCATAAAAACATCTCCCAAAGTGTATTGCTAATATTGGCTTATATACATCCTACAGAATATGTGTTGATAAAATGTTCATTTGGATCACACCTTGGCATAACATCTCCCAAAGTTTATTGCTAATATTGTCTTGTATACATCCCACAGAATATGTGTTGATAAAATGTTCACTTGGATCACACCTTGGCATAACCTCTGACATAATCTTTAAAAAAAAATGTATGATTCATCCGACCTGACGACTGATTGCATAGTCCAGTCATGGTATTCACATACCAGCTGTAACCATAAATGTCAATGATGCTGAGTAAACAGAAACACATGAAAGAGGCATCTGCTATAGTATTTCACATCGAACACAGTCTGATAAAACATGCTCTCGTATGCACTTGTATATGGATTTGTACTGAATTTATTTATCAGCTGAGCCTCAGGCAGTTGCCTATTTACATTTATCAAAGTGAAAGACACTCTAAAAACAACATTCATTGATCAGGTACTGATGTCCAGTGCCTTATTTACTATAAGTTTAACAGTTATTCTGCTTTTCGTATGTATTAATAACAGTTCACGACCGCCCAATGAGCAGTACTGTTTTGGAGATGCTAATTCTTAACCTCTGAACCACCTCAATTAGGTCCTTATTAACGTCAAAAATCAGCAACTTACTGTATTATACGCACATGTAATCAGCAAAATAATGCCTTGGTATTCTTGGTAGCTGTCAAATAGTATTTCCACCTTGTCTCATGCTGTCTGCATCGTCCTGGTGAGTACATTCTCTGAGGGAGGTATATAGTGTGGTATCTGATCAGTATATTCTATGTTCTCAGAGAAGATGAGGTGTTTACTTCTGTTTACAAAGATTCTTAAAACAAAGAAGATAATTTTATCGGACAAATTTCAACACTGTTAGTGGAAAGGTTCAATTAAAACAGCATCTAGTATGGTTCATGTAGAGCATAAATTCCAGTTAGTTATAATACTCATTGTGCTTTAATTACCTAAATACAAAAAGCTAAAGGATTAAAAGCTAAGTAATTTTCAATTACTCTTCTTTAGAAGCTCCGAAGATCAAGAACCAGGTAAGAGCTATTACTTAGAATATGCATCAATTTTCTTTATAAAATTAATTTTATACTTTCTCCCTTTGATTTTTTTTCAAAATATTGCTATTTCTTTATCGAAAGCTTGATAAATTTTGTCAGGTATTATAAATTGATTTAATGATTAAAAATCCTCTATGTCTCTCTTAATTTTAAATAATAGTTCCAACTAGTAGTTAAACGCGAAGCAAACTGAACATGAGTTTCATTTTGTAGTCTGGATGCTTTCCTAAATTGCTCCAAACATGAATACGGTGTTGGTTGAAATTCTCGTAATACTATTCCCTTTATTTTTATGTAATTAATTAAATCTTTCTCCTCTATATAAGTGATAATATTAAATGCCTTATCACCTAACAAATTCAACAAAATTTCTGCTTTGTATTTTTCCGGCATTTCTTTAGAAACAAATGTTCTCTCTAAGGAGGAAAAGGAAAAACCCAAGCCTTCTGGTACTGTAGGTATTTTCGTAGTTAAAGTACAGGCGCTTTTTATGTTTGTCCAATGATTCGTTGTTGCTTTCAATTTTAGGAATATCTACTTTTATTTTCACAGAGCCTGGATCTGTGAATGAAAGAAATATCTACTTTTATTTCCGTGCATATTTTAACCAACTCTACTTTAGAATGCTCTAACTTAATTTTTTCAAGCTCTAACTGTTTGGATTCCTCATATTTTCTCCTCTCAATAATCATGTTTGCAATTTCATTCACAAAGCCTGGATCAGATTTATTCGGATCACTGCTTTTGATGGCTGTGTTTAATTCTAAAACTGTCATTTTATCTGTTAGTTCAACTCCTATTTTAAAGGCCTTAAATCCTCTTTAATTGCAATTTTAAACATTTTTATTTCTGATACAACTCAAATTTTTAAGAAATACAACAAAGTTCACAATAGTACTTTTAAATATGTACAATAGCACAATAGTACTTTACACTTTGAGATTTAATTTGAGCTTAGATATAAGCTCAAATTAAATCTCAAATAATTCAAACAGTAAATTATCACCTACTTGACTGTTAAATAGTCTTCTCTCGAAACCAGAAGTAGCCACATCCTTCTAATCCACACACACTTTGAAGACATTTCTCATTTTATAATTATCTCTGGCTCGACGGACCAAAATGTTTATTGGTTCTCT